TGTTGGAGGGCATCTGCCAACTACGGTGCACGCTGCAGAGGCATGACCCCGTTTCGCGTGGCCTCGTCCCTTTTGTTGGCTAGCGATGTTGTTGAAGAGCGGAATGTGAGAGCAATAAATCGCGCATGTGTGACATCCGCTAGTTGCAATGGTTGCAACCACTTGTGAATGAGGAAGAGGGAAAGCTTTTTTTTTGTATATTGGCTTTCCGTCTTGGCCCTGCCTGGTGGGCTGTGGCCTACGAATATTTTGGCTCTAATAGGCCACCGCTGTGAAGGGCAGGCTAAAATACAGCCACGTACCATTTTCACTGTTCTTGGCACTAGATATTGACGTGCACGATTGTGTCTGGGCAGTCTGGGATGAAATCAGCGGTGCTGGTAGATCGGTGAGACTCCGTACCATGTACGTAGATCTTGTCTGGGCTGCAATCAGGGCGCTGGTAAACTAGTGAGGCAAGAGGCAAATACGATTTAGAACAGTCTGGCCTCTAACTTTCCTTAAAGATAGAAGAGTGAGACTGTACGTTTTTCCTGTGTTTGTCTTTGTATCGTTTAAGCTCAGTTGTATGTAGTATTTTCCGTTCCCATAAACGTAGTCGTCCATTCAACCTCCGGTGCTGCCTGCGTTGAGTTCGTTATCTCTGCAGATCATCGTTCAAGATCTACCTGATTGATGAAAAACTATCAAGAACTTTACAGAAGTGTTGCAGCGGGAGACACAAAGAAGCGTGTCAACGGAGAAACAGACATACGAGAGCCACAAACAGCACCAGAAAAAACAGCCACAAGGTGCAGTTATCCAACGGCATGAGATTCTACACATCTTCAGCAGAGTAAAAAATTCATGCTTCTTCAAGTTTTCATTGTAGTTGCTCATTTAATAGCTTTACTGTATTTTTAAGTTAATTATCTCGCCATAATAACTACAATTTGTTGAGCAAATGCCGTGAATATGGTGAGCAGACGACACGGCGCGAATGAATACATATGGAGGGTTTAAGTGTCTTTTCTATTGGCTGAGCGGCCTGTAGCCTCCACAGTGCTGAAGGGAACTTCTGAAACAGAGTATACATACTACCATTTAACCACACGAGCGCTACCACAGCACTCTGATATGGCTAAAGAAACGGATTGGATTAGATAGTTTGTTGGCTTAAGAGCATAGTTGCCAGCTGCGCAGAAAAATCCACTATATTGTGGCTGAAAGAACTTCCATTGAGGAAATTCAAGTGCTTTTAGGAACCTCAAACAAATGATAGGGTTTGCAAGGCGTTGAAAATGCCATATCAAAATTCAAGGGTTTTCAAGGGTGTTAAGGACTGCTACGTACCCTGGCTACCTTGTCGACAAAATTTATGTGGGAGTACATTTGCCTAAGCCGCTGAACCGTTACAAAATATATGCTCGCGATAAATACTCGATGCTAAAGAGCCTCTGTTTTTTAATTTATTTTGTGCTGAAGACAGACTTCTTGTTACGAATACAGCAGCGGACTACTTAAAGCTTAGCTTTCTAGAGTCAGCCAATGTGGTAAGCTTCTTTCTCTCTTGTTGCCATGGCTAAGTAACATCGGAATTCATGCCTTGCCAGAAAAGAATCAAATGTCCTTGATTTCTACTCGTAGTTTAGTTTGCCTAATGCACAGTTTCAGTTTTTCCGCTTGCCTCTGTTTGCTTAAAATAAATGTGTCTGTTCAACATCAATAACTGCTAGGCTATTATGCGCCGAACAAAATATGATTTTGAGGTGCACTGTAGTGCGGTGTCAATATTAATTGTCACTGCTTGGAGTTCTTCAATAAGCTCATATATCTTGGTTCACGGGTGTTCTTTGTACTTCGCTCCCATCTAAATGTGGCTGCCATGGTTGGAAATCTATCCCGTTCCATCAAGCATAGCAGCCTGACATCACCCGCGCTATGCTATCACAGTGGTTTGCTTGATCACTTGATCAAAGTACAGGTGCATACACACCACAGACAAGGCATACATATGGCGCCAGAAAAAAAGATAATGCGGAATCTTCGACTTTTTTTGTTTTGTTTTTAAATACAGAAGTGGGCAGTGTGGTGTCATCGCCACACGGGCTTATCAATGATGGCATATCAGCCGGCACTAGCTTACTACAAACTCTAGCATGTAGCCAGAAAATAATGACGAGCGAGTTGCCACCTCTGCACAGCACTGTCCCTTCGATGCCACATGCATAGACGAGGTCCACTTAGCAGGGCTTCTCCCCGTTTTCGAATGCTTTTTAAGTGAGAGTAGCCTTCGGACAGTTTTTTTTCCTCTAAACCGCGGTGCAGTATTACTGGCGCAATGGCTTTTTGAGCTCTTCGTTCTGAAATGAAGCATGGCAGTGGCGCACGCACGTGCTCTCCATGCAGTGCACTGTGGCCGGTCGTCTTTGCCCCATGACTCTCTGTCAGGTGCTGTTTTTTGGCGCGCCACCTAACCAGCGCTGGTCTCCTATCAACCCATTCCATGTTTGTAAACACAGGTTGGCCGATGTCGACATTATGGGTAAAATTATAGCGACGTCCCCACGTAACTTCCACCATAAGTGCTGAGGGCTGCGATGTGTGCCAACAAAACGAAGTTGTGAGACTCCATAGGCGTTTTGAAAGCCATAAGCGCTGAAGGCTGCAATGAGCGCCAACAAACAAAACTAAGTTGTGAGACGCAACTCGCATCCAACCGCGACGCAGCTCGTCGGCATACAGTTTTTTTTTTCTCATTGCTTGACTGAGAACACCACCTGCACCACTGAAAACCCAGCAGAAACTACAATAGGCAGAGTGCAGAGCGTCTTTTGCCTACCAAGACAGTGCCACCGCATTTTCGTGGTGGAAGTCCAGTGGAATTTCTCTATAGATGAGACGTAAATGCGCAAAGACTCACGGGATGCATGTGGTCTACACCGGCTTCCTGTTCAACAGCTCTCCGTCCGTCTGCTGCGTCACTCCTTGGTTGGTATGCGCCACAGTTAATAAATGAACGAGATCAAGCTTTTGTAATGGGTTGGAGCACTCGACGACATGCTTGTTGCACCATTAGCCTTCTGCGACACCTGGTTGTTCCTTTGCCATTCTAAAACGCTGCATTACTCATATTAACGAGATTCCTTTCTCGACATCAAGCTTGCCTAAGGCCACAGTTTGCAACGGAGTTCCAAGCATCGGCGTGGCTCAGTGGTAGAGTACTGGGCAGGCACGCAGCGGACCCGGGTTCGAATACCATTGCATTAATACTGATTGTTGGCCTAGTTGGTATTTACTTAATGGCATGATTTGGCCGCAAAAGAGACACACACAAGAAAAGGAACACTCAAACGACAAGCACAGGCGCCTGTGCTTGTCGTTTGAGTGTTCCTTTTCTTGTGTGTGTCTCTTTTGCGGCCAAATCATGCCATTACCATTGCATCATTGGTCTTTTTATTTACTAAGTTTTTTTCTTATTTCGTGCTATAATCGTTATGAACACCTGTGACGGCGGTGGTGGCAGACAACTACAGTGCACAAGAGCCTTGTCGTGATCTCATAACAGCTCGGCGCTGTAATAACTGCTCGCTGTTGAACGAAAGCGGTGAGTAAAAACCAGCAATACTCTGTTCATCGGCGACACTCGTGAGCATTTATGCGAGCTTATCAAACACACCACAATTATCACTGCAACTCGTTTAGTTCCACGATACATTTGACTTATTGCGTCAAATGAGTGGTAAAGTTAGGCAAGTTGTTTTACGACGGCGTATAACACAGTGCGCGAACAGAGGACAAAAAAAGAGAGCAGTATTTTTTTTTCTATTCAGGCACCCTCTCTAAAACAGTCAGGAAGGTTCCTGTGACTTCTGGCATGGCCTGCATTGTGTGGTAATGCGTGCTACAGTTTTTTGTGACGTGCAGAACATTAAAACTTGTGGAAGAAAATGTACGCTCGTCAACCAATAAAGGACACAAGACAAGAGAAGCAATGGTTTGGCACCCAGTGTGGGTCCTTTGTTCACAATGAATGAATGAATGGTGGTCTATGTGCCGAAAGACACAACGTGCTTCCGCATACCTCCGGGAATGAGCCCCGTCTCCAATTTGTCATGTTAGTAGTTGCTGCAAGGTTCAATAAGCAGGCAGGATGATCATACTTCCTCTTTTTTGATAATGGAAGCCGACTGCCAGCCAAGACATTGTACAGTTTTTTCATAATGCTCTGCCAGGGAATTCGAACCATGCGTGTCCTTTGGCTACATCATTATGATGCTGCTGTAGCTTTCTTTTAAAGTTTCTACTCTCATCTACATAACATGCCTTGCAGTCCTGGCGCAAAATTTTGGAGACATTACCAGGACTCTTTTAGTTGGCAGGTGTACATTTTCTTCAACCATCAGTTTTTCTAACCAGACGAGTTTTCAACGAACCCTAAACTTCACATGAAAACTGAACCGACATTCAATTTTTGAAACAGCTCTCTTAAATGTAATGAAGCTCTGCACCTAACTTCCTAGAGATAACAACATGTGCGCTGACTGAAATAGAATTTTGTGTTCCCGCCTGCTCAAATAAATGTCCTTATGTCAAGTCTTTTTTTCCCAGGTCTTTCAGACAGCACGATTGTGAACAATGTGCCTTACAATTCGTGAAACAGGATGCGTCTGGTTTTTTGAAAGCTGCATGTTGGCGTTTGGGCGCATTTATGTGGGCCACTTGAAAATTAGCAAAATTCATTTGAAACAAGAACAAAACAATTGAAACTGCTAGAATTAAGTTATTGGCTCGTGAAACTATCATTTGAGCGATTGAGCCTTTTTGCCAACATTTTTCAATAAAATACTGAGTTAAGTAAATGGCACCTTACCAGTACTACTTAATTTTTATACTAATAGGGCCGGCATAAACAAATGTAACAGGACTTTACTGACCTAGCCATATAATTACAACTCCAATCAAGCCTTCTGATTCCTAATATAGTGTGCTACAATCTGGCTCATCATCGTGATACTTACATGATGTCGTGCTTGTGGCGTGTCAGCACAGTGTTGAGACCAACGGCAAGCTGCTGAGGCTGGAAAACTTGATTTGGATTGGCTGGCCGAAGGTCCACGTGTGCTGCACTTTCGAATGCATGAACGCCCGTGTCAGTTCGACTCGCAAGCACCAGTACTGGATCACCCAGGCAGCCCAGCTGGCACAACGCGGCCTGCGATCGAACCCACAGTGGTTGTACAACTGCACGGATGAGACCTGGATAAGTATCATGCTACTTTCCCATTTACGATGTTTTCACGCAGTTTTCCAGAAAGCTTTTACGACATTACAACTAAGGTCGATTCTGGCACCGTAGCTTTACACCCCTACCGCCAATGTCGGTAACCACTATCACATGAAATAAGAAAAAAAAGCTAAATAAATAAGAAACACTGCAGACTGAATAGGAATCGAACCCAGGTCCTCTATGTGGCAGCCCAGTACTCTACCACAGAGCTACGCCAGTGCTTGAAACTGCGTCGCAGACTGACCCTGTGCAGGCTTCATGTCAGGTAAGGAATTGAGTTAACATACGTAATAAGTTGTTTTAGAATAGTGAAGTAACAACCAGGTGTCGCACACTGTGAATCACATAAGGAGTGGGTCGTAAAATGCTCCTATCCTTTGCAAAAGTCTCAGGCATAATTGTTGATCGTCGTCAGCCACAGCATTGACAAAGTGCACATAATGAATGCCTTACAGGCATGTAGCAGGTACCTTGCTTTTCCAAATAAGGGAGAATAATGGAGAATAATGGCATAGCACACACTTTCCCACTGCATACAACTTCGATGATTTATGGCGTAGTGGGCACCAGGCAAGTGTGCTTGTAGTAGTTGCTCCAAGTGTTTTAGGAAATTTAGGAAAAACTTTTATTTAGGAAAAATTTAGGAAAAATGATTTATTCAGAACGCATACAGCAGGCAAGTATCCGTGACAGAACTGCGCAGGCGTTCTGACCTACCAACACTAGAGTCCCGCTGTAAACTACGTCGTCTTAAAATATTACACAGCATAGTTAATGTTTATTCAAAGCTTGACTTCAATACTTATCTCGAATTCAACATGTCACGTTCCACCCGGAACAAGCACAACAGAACAATCCTAAGGCCTTTCACGAGAACAAACGCTCACCGTCTATCCTTTTTTCCGAGAACGATAGCAGAATGGAACACTTTGCCACGCGCCGTTACTAACTTAACTAATCAAAATGCTTTTTCAACGGCTATTCAAAATTGTGTATGATTGGAAGTGCTGGTCTTGTTTCCCTGTTCTATTGAACTAACATATTTTACGCGTTATCTTGCTACTATGCCACTAACGCACACTGCTTTTTGTTTTTGTTTTCACGCTTTCTGGTCAATGCGCATAGCGCACTTTGTATGTTTTGCATTAGAATAGCATTGCCGGTTTTATTGTACATTCACGTAGCTATCTGTAAAGAGAATTACTACTGCTTTGCAAATTGTGGGCCGTGCTACTGATTGCGCACGCTTGTGTGTGTGTCGTGACAATCTCAAAGCTTACTGCTTTATTGCTTCCCTGTATACCGTGGACCGTGGTACTGGTCGCGTGTAAACTTTGTATTCGAATTCTGCACTGTACCACTCCTGCCCTGGCTGCCAAAGGGTGGCTGGCAGTATTGAATAAATAAAAAAAAACTGCACTTGAGCCGGAATGCTCAACACATTACATGGGGAACTTGGGTGGTCACGGTTTCTCTCTGGCCTCGTTCGTGGCTCTTGCATGACTGCTTCTCTATCGACGCATTATTTTCAGTCTTCCACTGTAAAGCTTTTCACTTTTTTGTTTCTACCAAAGATGGATCCGGTGTACACAGAATTCTGTGCGAGGTTGCATGCCCGATACAAGGAGATGCAGAGTTGTTTGTCTGGCAAAGCAGCCTGAGCACCGCCTTGGCACGCTAGGCTTGGCAGGTGCGACTAAGCAAGCAGCATATCTCACCAATAACGATAAAACGTACCTGATGTTTTATACTCTGAGTAAGATGAAACAAATGCCGTCCGGTAATCGTGAAATTCGTTCCTTTAAAACGAAGCAGCTGATTCTATACCAGTCAGTGAAGCTCAGGGATAAAGGTATCGCCGTAAGGGAAGATTTTTCTTTAGAAACGCGCCAAGCCAGGAAAAAGCTGCTTCAATTTGCAAAGAATCAGGGCTCGCATCACAAACTGAGGTACAACAAACTGTACATTAATGGTCAGTGCTATAGCTACAACGCAGCTCGTGATCCTGTTTTTATGGAAAATAATTTTCGGGGACAGGCATCGCGTCACGATATCGATGATTCTAGTATCTCTGTCTTGTCACATACTGAGCATTCTGATCGCTCTGCTCGTCCGCTGGTCCAGAGTCAGCAGTTAACCCGTGATGTCCCTGTTCTACCGCACCCTGCGCTGTAGGATTGCGGAAGGGGCAGTGGTTCAGCGCCTACTATCACAAATTCTGTCTCTTTTCTTTTTACAAATATTAGAAGTTTATTACCGAAGCGCGATGAACTTGACTCTATAATCAATTCCTGTGATGCTGATGTTGTTTTATTGTTTGAAACATGGCTTTCTTCTAAGGTAACGAGTATGGAACTGATTGCAAAAAGAAGTTCAACGTATTCCACTTCAACAGAGGCCAAAGATGTGACGGTGGTGTTTTGATAGCTGTTGCAGATAATTTTGTTGTGTCGCCCATTGATTCCCCAAGTAACCTGGAACTAGTCTGGGTTGAGCTTTGCGTACGTTTTAAGAAGTTGATCTTGGGCATATGTTACCCTCCCCGTCTTCGTGTCCCACTTTCCTTGATGAATTCTATGACGCGCTTAGCATGATCACTGTACGTTTTCCCAACACTCCTATCCTCTTGGCAGGAGATTTCAACTACCCCTCGATTGTGTGGAATAATGCATCGCCTTATCTTAGCCCTTTGTCGACTGAGTGTAACAAGTTTTGATGACTTGTCTGGACTTCAACCCGTCACAACTTCTCTCTGAACCTACTCGAACTATTTCAGCCACATCCAGCATTTTAGATCTCGTTCTAACTAACGTACCGCATCTTATCTCTTCACTCGTGTATCTACCTGGCCTCAGTGGTCCTTCGTTACTCCATTTTGATCTTGAAACTCCTGTCTGAAACCACATCAATCAGACAAAATACATTAGAGACTATAAACGTGCTGACTACAACGCGATAAATCGTGAGCTAGCTTTTTTTCTCGATGATTACTTGCAGGAGTTTTCAGTGCATTCTGTGGACACTAATTGGGAACTGTTTAAGGGCATTGTTGAGCATCTTATTGACGCTTTTGAGCCACTTAAATCCTTGAGGTGTGAGAAAGAATCACCTTAGTTTAATAAGCATTTGAAAAAACTGTTCATTAAAAAGAAACGTTTGTTTCGCTCTGGAAAGGTGATGAATTCCGAGGTGCAATGAGAATCCTATTTTTTCGTGGCTGCTGAGTACAAAGCCACATTAAGGAGCGCCGAGGACACGTTCAACAACCACACTTTGCCTGCTATGCTGATTAACAATCCTAAACAATTTTGGAATGTAATAAACAAGAAATACACAACCACAGTGTTACTTACATCTACTGATGATGTTGCAGTCCCGTCACACGAATGTGCTTCTGTTCTCAACAATGTTATTGCGGCAGCTTTTTCTAACGATGTTTCTTGCGATAATTTTAACTACCTTGCTTTTGATGTTCTTCCTATGGACCCAGTTATATTTGACGCATCCGGCATTCAGAAGATGCTAAAAAATCTTAAGATTTCTTCTTCTTGTGGCATTGACAACATTCATCCCAAATTCTTGATTAATAGTATTGTTCCATAATTCTTAATAAACTGTTTGAACGATCCCTTGAAACAGGTTGTATGCCCAACGATTGGAAAGTCGGGAGGGTGATTCCTCTGCACAAGTCTGGAAATAAACAATGCCCTAACAACTTTCGTGCCACTTCTCTCACTAGTGTACCTTGTAAAATGATGGAGCACGTCATATACTCTCATCTCGTCTCTTTCTTAGAATCAAATTCTTTTTTCACTATAGCCCAGCACGGATTCCGTAAGTCATTTTCATGTGAAACCCAATTCATATGTTTCACGCATGAACTTCATTGCATCCTCGATCAGGGATCTCAGGCAGACTGTATATATTTGGATTTTTCGAAAGCTTTTGACAAAGTCTTGCATGAACTTCTATTTCTTAAACTACGTAATCTTAACATTGACCCTAATATACTTGCATGGTTGATCTGTTTTCTTTCAAACCGCTCACAATTCGTAACAGCAAACAACTTTGACTCACACCCTTTACCTGTCCGTTCTGGTGTACCTCAGGGGTCCGTTCTCGGGCCCCTTCTGTTTCTAATCTATATAAATGACTTACCGACTATTTCTTCTTCAATTATTCTTTTTGCAGATGATTGTGTTATTTATCGTGAAATTACGACAATAACGATGTCTCTTGCCTTTAATCCGACATTAACAAGGTTACGGACAGGTGCAACACTTGGAACATGAAAATAAACATTAATAAGTGTAAGCATATGCACATTTCTCGAAATTCTAGCTCAGCTTCCACTTACCACATTAACAATGTCTTTCTTGAAACTGTGCTCTCCTATAAGTGCCTATAGTGCCTATAAGTGTTCATATTTCTTCTAACCTGTCTTCGAAAACTCATATTCATTATATCATAAATAACGCCGACCGCATGCGTGGGTATATTCGCAGGAACTTCTCTCATTCATCCAGTTCAATAAAACTATTACTTTATAAAACACTGGTTCGCTCAACATTAGAGTATTCTGCATCTGTCTGGAGCCCTGGCATTGAATCACTCATTTCCGATTGGGAAGCTGTGAAGAACCGTGCCAGCCGTTTCATACTCTCCAACTATCACCGAACAAGCAGCGTAACCGCCATGAAATTAAGTTTGTCCCTCCCTCCTTTTTCTCATCACAGGTCAGTAGCTTCATTATGTCTTTTTCACAAAATTTATCACAACAGCTATCTGAAACAGAAATTATTAACAAGGTCATCATACTTATCAGCTCGCATTGATCACCGCAATAAAGTTGGAGTTTCATCACGTCACACCAAATGTTTTCATGACTCATTGATACCCAGAACATGTGTCAGTTGAAATGATCT